GATATGTCCCCGCGTCATGAAATTTTGACCGACATAGGCGGTTTGCCCAGGTGTAAGTCACTTCTGCGTTTCACTTGGAGTCCCTAGTTCCAAGCTTGCAGAGCAATCGCTTGGTTGTGCCAATTTCATTTCCAGTTTGCAATCAACAAGAGAAATCATAAACAACGTCCTCGCTGCGTTATGTGTGCCCTGCAGAGGAACGCTCACATGGACACCGCAATCGCATTCGATCCCTCTGCGGCCTGTCCGGGACAAGCCTCGCGGTCTGTCCGTCGCGGTTGATAACAACAACAGCACTGATTGGCTGAGAAAAGTCGGGATGGCTTTCCGACCTCCACTTTGACCATCAGCTCGGATGCCAGGAATGTCGGAGTGTCCGTCCGACATTGCGTCAACCCTCAGCTAGCCCATATCGAGCAGGAGCCGAGTGATCGAGTGTCGTCCTCCGAGAGATCAACTTGTATCCCCTTTAATGCTGATCTCTTCATTCTGATTGCAGTGTCCTTTCGGATTGAATCTCCACGCCGATGTGTCCGCCTGTGATCGCAACCCAATTGCCTCTGCGTCCCCATATACTCGGCATTTTCGGCTGGGATTATCTATCTTTGGCTCTTCCAAACACCCTCGTGATCTATCAACAAAAAGTCAATATCGAAAGGGGCTTCTTCAATTGCACGGCCGAAACCACAACCCCGTTCAAGCGTGGCCAATGCTTTCTCCCAGCCCCGTTTTCCCCGCGAACAATCTTGACTGAAGTGACGATCGTTCATGTCATCCAATGGTCACCGAGCATCCGAACCCCGGACTCCGCGTGCTCCCTACATACGCAGACGCCTCTTGCGTTGACATGACACAGGCTCAGCATGGCCACATGACTTTGTATGTGTCAATCCAATGTAACCATCTCCAGACAGACTCCGATGCCAGGAAGAACACAAAGTGTGGGGTAACAAGGCATCCCCTCCCTCTGAGTCTTCTCCCTTCTGCCGCACTGATAAGACCCCGGAATACGGAGCAAAAAAAGCCACTCGGCTATCTGCGGTGCGCGTCAGCTACTCGCACCCCAGCGCTGATAAGCCATCCATGGATGCGCTAAACCGCTTGGCCTGCGCAGAGACAGACACCTAAATAAAGACAACGCGCTGCCGCAGCCATGAGTTCCGTTGTCGGAAGCTCGCTCCGACAATATCTGCAACGGCGAACGAACAACACCAACAAGAGCCCTCGCTCAGCGAAACGACATGGAATTCAGTGACACCAGCCCTGGAAACCCTTCAAGATGCCGCAATTAAGCCAGGGACAATACAAAGTGACGAAAAAATGTCAAAAAGCGTGCGTGCGGGGAACCCCGAAAACGGAATGGGAGGGCTCACATGACTAACATTTTTTTCTGTGTTTCTGAAAAATAGTTGCGAAAGATGCAGGGTGATGAAAGTCAAGTGCTCGGGCTCACAACCGTGCACGAGATGTGACCGGAAGAAGCATCGGTGCATCTTTGCGGTTGAGGATAAGAGAATATCGGTCCCGGAGAGGTGAGTTGTCGGTGAGCGGGCGGGCGCGTGTTGTCGGGACTCTCCAGTTGACCCACTCTACCAGTTACCTCCGTGAACTTCAGAATCGGAATAGCGAACAGGCCTCGGATCGGTCGGTCAGGGCGGTGAGCCGGGGCCAAGATATTGACGACGGTCCTTCGCGGTATAGCGAGCCGTATGGGACGCCGCATCGTCAACCCTTGCCTCGGCGTGAAGAGGTGACTGGGCAACTGGAAACTCCAAGTCACGGTTGGTTCTTGAATCCAAAGTGGAGGCCTCCTGAATTGTGCATTGAGACTGACTTGAATACATAGACAGTCCACTACTTGGCGGAGACCAGCAGTCTGAGCCAGAGTCTGAGCCCGATGATCGTGGTGATACACCTGCACACCACGGTGACTTTGGGCCTGGGTTTCGACAGAACCCGTTAGTCGACAACGACTACACGTTTGCCAAAGCAGGCGGAAAGTACTGTAAGTTATTTCTCTCGCCATCTTCTTAAGCATGGACGCGCTGACGGGGGCTCTCAGGGTACATGGGGCCAACTTCATCATGGTCCTTCTGCCGCAGAGTCCTAGCCCTTCTTGGGAAGAGAATCCCAGAAGCAGCGCCAGATCCATGGCACCTCCCCCATGAAGGAGCTTTCCGGATGCAATGGAAACCGCTTGGCCTCAACGAGGAACCGGATGTGTCGAACCTCCCGCCGTTAGACTACGCCATGTTCCTCTTCAATACGGCCAAGTTCTACCTCGGCGCGGTGTTCTACCTCATCGACGAGAAGTCGTTCATGAAGAATCTGCATGAGTTCTACGATGACCCTGCTGCAAAAGCAAGCTCATCAAGGCTCTGGTATGCACAGTACCTGTTGATACTGGCCTTTGGCAAGGCATTCGTGGTATCCCAGAGCAGCTCCCATACCGGCCCAGCAGGCGTCCAGTATGCTACGAGGGCCATGTCACTGCTGCCGGACTTATCTGGACTCGAACCGGATACAATATCGTCAATTCAAGCTCTTGCTTTGGCGGCTGTCTACTTTCAGTGTCTCGATATGAGACTGGCGGCGTTTCAACATGTGAGTGGGGGGTGATATACACTGAGAATACAAGTACTAATTGTGGCCCAGATCGGACAAGCATTGCGTATCAGCATTGTCGAAGGCATATACCGGCATATGCCTGAAGAAGTCGTCGGTGTGGAACATTCGCGACGCTGTAATATTGTGTTCTGGGTGGTATACACCTTGGACCGGGAGTTCTCTGCTCTGATGGGAGCACCTAGTTCCATCCGAGACGAGGACATCACAGTGAAGCTGCCTTCACAAATGGACAACTCCTTAGACGCCCTGAACATGACGCTCCACGTCCGGCTTTCGCGTTTGATGGCGCGCATTCTTACCAGTGAGTCTTTTATCGCGCGTCGTTTGAGCTTCCACTCGCTGACTTGAGACCTTAGCGGTGTACGGTGTCGGCAAGTCGTTCGACGGGTCCCTTGTGTCAAATACGCAGTCCATCCTCCGAGACCTTGCACGGCTTTCTCGAGACTTGACGGCGCTTCTTGACACTCATTTCCAAGGTTCGGTGAGCAGAGCGTCGAGGATGGCCTTGAGGCTCATCCTCTCGTACCACCACGTAAGTCAACACCCTACCCGGGCTCGAAGACATTCAGCTTAGACGACCAGTGCGTTGTTCTTACAACCCGACCTTTGGTTATGTGCGCTTTGCACATTCACATCGAACATTCCGATCTACGAGCTACGCAGACAGTCTCTTTGACGCCACCCGTTGCGTCACTACTACAATCATGCGTCGATTCCGCCCAGACAGTCCTCAGGACACTCCGAGTGCTAGGCGACGAAGATCTGCTAGGTCAGTCAATATTTCCTATACCCCATCAGTATATCCCAGCATAGCGATCAAAATGCTAACAGCCCATCAGAAGCTTTTCTCCCCTTCCAACTCGAAGACGCCTTCTCCTCCGCCTTCCTCCTCTACCTTGTCCGCGTCATCGACCCCTCCCTTCTCCACGACGACACCTGGTGCGAGAACATCAAGTGCGTCCTGGACAAGATGATATCCAAGGGAAGCCTCGTAGCCCCGTTGCGCAAGCTCGAGCTCAGCCAGCTGGAGAACATTATGACGGCCTTCACCCCGGCACCGGAACAGCCCCCGACGCCGTCGCCGAGCACGGCGCATCCGCAGCACCACGACCACGGCTCGTTCCTCGACCAAATGGACCACGAGGAACCTGGCTGGGACATTTTCGACACGAGTGGGATGGGCGGTCTGTCGCCGCAGGCGCTGCTGGACCTGGCTGAGAGGTTGGACGTGGAGGATTTGATGCAGTCTGTGGATCATGAGGTTTCATGAGGTTTCACGAGAATAATGATAGTCATGCAGTAATGTCAGTGGGCGATTCCCAGGAGCAAGTATTCATGTAGCCCAATCGGATGTGTCATCTATTTCATAGAGAAGCTTTGGCTTCTCCGTTGGATGGGCTTGCTAGTCATTGGAGTCCTTGGCGGACAGCAGACATGAACTAGATGAGAACCCCATTAGCTCAAGGTCGAAATGAGTTTCCTGTACTTGAAGAGGACTTACGGGAATCACCTGGGCCTTCTCAAGGTCCCAAACGCCGTTCTTGGCGTACACGTCATTCTTGATCAACTCCCACGCCTCATCGGCATCCTTGACAGTGTAGATGATCATGCTGCCCTTGAAAGCGGGCGTCTTGCCTTCTGAGGGGTGCTCAGACTCGAACATGGCTCCTGGGATATCTAAGTCAGACCTAGCCAATCATCCATACTCATGAGCTTACGCACCGCCAACAGCCACCTTGCCCTCCGAAGCAGCAGACTTGGCCGCAGCCAAATGAGTCCTTGTGAACCGTCAGCTCCCTTATCACCGCACAATCACCCATCTCATGAGATAAAAGACTCACGGCCTAATCTCCAAGCGCTTGGCGAGCGCGTCGGGCTTATCCGGGAGGATGCAGAGGAACTCCTTCTTTGCAGCGGTGGCCATTGTGCGATATGTGAAGTTGAACGGTGATGTCTGGGCGACGAAGCAGCTTCTTCGGGTTACGTATCGAGATGCGGGGATGAGAGGCGTCCGCAAGATGCGTGTGGGGATGGACATTGTGGGTTGAACGGAGGGGGTTTGCGGAGATGGCTGCCACTGAGTCGCTGACTGTTCAACGGTTCCGTTGAGTGAGAGTGCGTCATGTGATGTGCGGAGGGTGAGAGTCGGGGAGTGCGTGTTCGAATGCTCCGACGTCGGACCCGACAACCGAGACTAGCCGGCGTTGGTCGGTGCTGGAGAGCCCGGGACTTCCGGCCACGGTGTTCCTCCCGGCATCGTGTAGTATGGATTCAGACTCTACGGAAACGGTTCAGAAGCAATTCAACGAGATGAAGTGCTCTTGGAGTCCTTGCCTGCTGTCATCGAAAAAGAAAAAGAAGCCAAAAAGATGAGGTCGAGCCCGGGTTCGAACCGGGGTTGCCGGAAGACTTTGAGGTGATCAAAATCCGGCTGATTGGGAGTCAGCATGGGAATAAACAGACGCGCTGTTGGTGAGGAGAGCTTACAGTGATAACCACTACACTACACAACCGACTGTGCATCAGAGTGGAGGCACGCGATGCCAGATTGACACACGAATCCACATTATGGATGACGATGACACGTCGCGCTTGTCCGCAAGCGAGAACGCGAGGATGCAAGGTCCTGGACGCGTCATGACACGACCGAGGGGAACTCCAGCCCGAACAGTAGCACAAGCTTCTTTATTGGTCTTGAAACATCAAACATGAAGACAATGTCTATGATATATGCATTGGCTAAGATTAATTACAATAGGTCTAACTAACTACAACACCTAGACTATGCCCGCTTCAAGCGCCGCATCGACATGGAACTCGTAAACCGACCGCCCATACAACTCAATGCTCTTCCCGCCATACACAAACCTCCCCTTCGTCGTCGTCGGCGCCCGAATCGTCACATAGAGATCGCTCCCCTCAACCTTCCACTCCGCGCTCAAGTCCCCATCAAACGCAGTCACAACCTTCGCCCTCGCCGTCTTCAACCCCATCTCGACACCGGCCGCCGGTGCAACCACCCAATTCCTGTACCCGAACCCGTCCGTCCCCGCAGCAGGCTGCACGCCCGCCGCCCACTCCGTCAGCACATACGTCGCCGCGCCGCCCCACGGATGGCTCAGGCTCGTGAACAGCCCTAAGCCGGGCTGCAGCGTCGCGGCGTTGACGTACTCCCAGCTCGTGCCGACGGCGCTCTTGTTCGCGGCCTCGGTGCCGGGCAGCATCGCGCCCCAGAGGCTCTCGATGAGCGCCTTCCCCGTGGCCGTGGCGTTGCCCATGAACAGCGCGTGCAGGAGGAAGCCGTTGGTGTTTGGGGAGATGTTGATGCTGCTGTCGTTGGAGGAGACGAGCGAGGTGTCCTTGTACCCGGGGCCGAGCTTCAGCAGCGAGAGTGCCTCGATGGAGCGCGCGGTGCGGTCTGGTGATGCGACGCCGGAAGTGATGCAAAACGCTGTTCCCGCGACGGAGGTGTCGTTCAGGGAGGCGAGCGAGTATCCGTACGCCCCGATGTCGTCGTTCCACAACTTCTCGTTGATCGCGTCGGCGAGCGAGGACGCAGCTGTGCGGTACTTGGTCGCGGTGGCCGTGTCGTTCAGCATGGTAGCCACGTCGGCGGCTCCGTTGAGGCTTTGCACTGCTTCGCAGGAGATGGCCGAGCCCCCGTCCGCGGGACCGGTGAAGGCGAAGCCGCCGTCAAAGGTGAGTAGGCCCGTTGTCGTGTTGATCTGCGGGAGAAGCCAGTCGATCACCTTCTGCCACTGCGGCCAGGTCGACCGCGCCCAGTCGAGGTCGTTGGTCAGGCGGACGTGGTCGTTGAAGGCCATGAGGCCGAGGAGCTGATAGTCCTGCAGCCCATAGCTTCCAGATGGCGCCAGGGCGTTCGCGATGGACTTGAGGTCGTAGCCCAGGTTGGGTGAGATGCTCATTTGGCCGTTGGCGATCTGAGTATCGAGCAGCACCTGCAGCGTTCCCCGAGACTGGTCCGTTCGTGATGTGCTGATGGCCGAGATGCGGGCGGTGTGGTAGAAGTCGCCGAGCCAGACGAGTCTGTCGCGCTTCGGCCCGTCGAGGCAGACGCTCTCATAGTTGGCTCGTGTGCCGTACTCGACCAGCACATCTTGGCTGGTGAGGTTGTTCGAGTAGAGGGTTGAGCCGTTGGCCGTATCGTATGCGTGGGCGTTCTTGAAGTAGGCCGCGTGGTCTTGGTAAGCACCGAATCCGAAAGAGCCGGTGAAGTCGGGAGTCCCGGAGTACGAGGCGCCTGATGAGATCAGAGCCCAGGGGTAGTCGGAGCGTGAGATGTTGAAGACTTGCGTATCGTTGATTGAGACCGCGAGGTGACCGCTCGGCGACATGGATGTCGAGATGTGGTACCAAGTATCCTCCTTCACGGTGAAAGGAACCTTGAAGACATCCAAGAGGTAAGATGTCAGGGTCGTCTGGTTCACGAAGTCGGGGCCGTACGAGAGCGAAACGGTGTTCGGAGGCGTAAGAGTCTCATTGACATTGGCAAATCGGTTGGACTCGGGGAGCTCCCCGGTGAGAAGGATGGTGTATCCGTTGCCCGCGATCGCTCCACCCTGGATATTGGTCAGCTCACGGTCTTTCAAGACCACCATAATCATCCTCGTGCACTCACCGTAACCCACCAACTACCTCCCTTCTTGATTTTGGTATCGAATTCCACTGTGTAGTTCGTCCACGCAGTCGCCTTCCACGTCATTGAGGGTCTCGTGCTCTGTGCCAGCACACCATTCTCTTCATCAACCGTCCAAATAGCCGGTTGACTTCCCTTGTCAACACACGCAGCCGTCGCAGCCCTGGCGCCCAGCTTCCAAATCTCATTCAAAGCCTCATTGTCGCTGGAAAACTGGCCCGGAAGGTCCTCGGGCTCAACGGTGGGGATCGTCGCTTCGAAGCCCACATTCGAGAACGTGACCGTGGTGTTGGTCAACAGCCTGACGGACTGCCATTTCTGCCCACCTTGAAGAAGAGGCGAGACAGTCTTGCCCTCGGCTGTGATGTTGAACGTTTCGACGCGAAAGCTGTTTCCCAGTTGGTTCGAGAAGCTGTATGGCCCGTCACCGAAGGGATGGTTCAGTCCGTCGAAATGCTCGGTGTACTTCACCTCGATCTGGGTGGGGCCGTCGAGAGCGGAGACCTCAAACACCGGAAATCCCGCTCGCTCGGCTCCATAGTCGAGGGTGGCTATCGGAATATCCGGGGTGAGGGTGAAAGGGGCGAAGGACTGAGTTTTGACTTGGGCTTCCGCGCCGAGAGCGATGCCATGAGGTGTGAAGATGCTAACCGCGGGAGAGAGGAGTTAGCAAGTGACTTGATGTGAACAGAGCATGATATTGAGTTAAACTCACTGAGCTTCGGATGACTGGTTGGTTCCTGCAGCTGGTGCACCTTCGGCTGCAGCCGCAGCTAAAAGCAGCAGGAAAGGCAGTACCATAATTCCGATTTCGTTCCGAATGGCTGAGGCCCAATGCAATGCAGCGAAAGCCGAAGTAAATCGAAATCCAATCTGCTCAGTGGTTGGGCAGAATACCAATAGCACGGTTCCGAAGTGAGAGTGTAAACAATGCAAACAATCTGAAGATCACACAGCCATATCGAACAGCTCAAAGTCTTTAAGCATGACTCCTTCGGGAAATTGGACACCGAGAGGTCCAAACATCGCTCGTCTCGTCCTCCATTACGACGATGTCGTTTGTCAATATTTCGATCGTCCCTGAGATCGCGTCTTCTCCCCCACAATCCGATTGGACCGCGCAAGCAACTAACCCAATCCTGCGCGTGTGTGGAAATTTTTCGCAAACAATACGACCCTTTCGCGTCGTAGTTTGCGGGGAAGTTTGCGGGGGAGTTACTATGTGGTCGTATCCCGAGTGCATGAGTCGCTTGGCCGGTAGTTCGAGTCGGTGAGGTGTCATTGTCCCCCGGACCGAGTCAGATGCCGAACCGAACCGACTCAGTCACGAGGTTATTGTTGAGCCTCAATTGACAATATCGACTTCGAAACATATACACAGCCAGTGTGACCTAATTAGCTGGTGTTCATTAATGTGAATATCTCGGCTGGAATTATGATTGAGGTATGGCAGGGCTATCAATAATAAAAGGACAACTCTACACTAAATTCAATAATGAGTTGAGTATCAGGGTGTCTGTCAATTCATTCGCTTCACCATACCTGCGAGAAATGTTCATAGAGCGCACATGAACGTTTCGTCCGGGGTTCACACATGCGTGATAATCGTTAATCATAAAATTCCGAGTCCTAGGTATCAAGGGAAAACTGCCTGCGACTCAAGCCCACAATCTCCGGCTGAATAACTCCCACAAAATGACTGACGTTCATGTTGTTGAAGAATCAATAATAAGGGTACTCCTAACCGTTGTTATCGTTCTTCTTCTCGTCCAAGCAGATACATAGTGCAGCCATGAGCGCCATGTCTACTCCAGGAGCTACTGTGAGCGCGTATGTCTGCTTGCCTCCGAAAAAGTCCCGAGCCCTCAGCATGTTGCGGTCAATCCTGCCCAAGACTTGACCGGTACTGGAGTCAACAATATCTGCCTGGGTTGACAGCCAGTTTCCTTTCATTTCCAAGGTCTCTGTCTTGCCGGTGCTTGGTGAGATGAAAGTAGCAGTTGCCTTGGAGCCAATTACTGCGGACCTGGTCAGTTTGATATTTCAAGGGGAGGTAGGATGAGCATCTTACAGGCGAAGCTGTTCTTGACTTCCATAATTTTCTTATCGTGTGGGTCGATGGCGGCGAAGGTTGTGTGAAGGTGGAAGTGTTCTTTTACGATGTCGAAGAGATGGGTACCGCTCATATCGTAGACCGACTTGCGCCCCGAGATCGACATGACCTTTCCCTTTACGCTGAAAATCGGTGTGCCGTTGACGAGTTTGATGTCGAAGTTGTCGCCAGTGAGGGAGAGCATCTTCTCCTTCAATATCAAGGTCTCCGTCTGTCGCGCGGTTACTTGCGGGAAAATTCCGACGGAGTTTCCCGCGGGTGCTAGTTGATGGGCTGCCATTCTGAATATTTCGCTTAGATAGGGTCTAGTATGTGACAAGCAGTCTGTCTGCTATTGTTATTTGATGCTGTTGACAATACTCGACGGTGTGAATAGGTGAAGAAACAAGGTGTGAGGTCGGCACCACGATGTCATGAAGGGAGGACGATGTAGTTTTTATCTAGCTCAAAAATAAGCAGGCGCTCTTCCCCTTTCGTGCTACCCTCAACAATGACGCTGATCATTGGCCCGGGAAGAGCAGCACATTCCTTCCTTTCGTCTAAAGTCTCACAGCGATGGGCATGATCCCCGCGCACCGGCTCCTTCTCGTCGCTGAAGCCACAACGAGGTTTCACCCAGTGACGTCACGCCCGAGCTTAAAGAGGCCTCATCTCACCACAAATGCGCGTTCGGCTGCTCCTTCCCAACCGTTTACCGCTTAGTGAGGGGTAGATGGACGAAGTCACTTTGGAGAACTGGCGCC